TGCGGTTTTCTGTTACTTGGGGCTTCAGAAAGCAAGAATTTCACATGTTGCGACTCTGCGGTTATTTGATCGGGCGATAGTAATACTTCAGTGAACACTTGTTTGGTTTTCTAGAAAATGTAGGAAATTAACACCATAATTTGAAGGATTTTGTGCGGTTTTCTGTTACTTGGGGCTTCAGAAAGCAAGAATTTCACATGTTGCGACTCTGCGGTTATTTGATCGGGCGATAGTAATACTTCAGTGAACACTTGTTTGGTTTTCTAGAAAATGTAGGAAATTAACACCATAATTTGAAGGATTTTGTGCGGTTTTCTGTTACTTGGGGCTTCAGAAAGCAAGAATTTCACATGTTGCGACTCTGCGGTTATTTGATCGGGCGATAGTAATACTTCAGTGAACACTTGTTTGGTTTTCTAGAAAATGTAGGAAATTAACACCATAATTTGAAGGATTTTGTGCGGTTTTCTGTTACTTGGGGCTTCAGAAAGCAAGAATTTCACATGTTGCGACTCTGCGGTTATTTGATCGGGCGATAGTAATACTTCAGTGAACACTTGTTTGGTTTTCTAGAAAATGTAGGAAATTAACACCATAATTTGAAGGATTTTGTGCGGTTTTCTGTTACTTGGGGCTTCAGAAAGCAAGAATTTCACATGTTGCGACTCTGCGGTTATTTGATCGGGCGATAGTAATACTTCAGTGAACACTTGTTTGGTTTTCTAGAAAATGTAGGAAATTAACACCATAATTTGAAGGATTTTGTGCGGTTTTCTGTTACTTGGGGCTTCAGAAAGCAAGAATTTCACATGTTGCGACTCTGCGGTTATTTGATCGGGCGATAGTAATACTTCAGTGAACACTTGTTTGGTTTTCTAGAAAATGTAGGAAATTAACACCATAATTTGAAGGATTTTGTGCGGTTTTCTGTTACTTGGGGCTTCAGAAAGCAAGAATTTCACATGTTGCGACTCTGCGGTTATTTGATCGGGCGATAGTAATACTTCAGTGAACACTTGTTTGGTTTTCTAGAAAATGTAGGAAATTAACACCATAATTTGAAGGATTTTGTGCGGTTTTCTGTTACTTGGGGCTTCAGAAAGCAAGAATTTCACATGTTGCGACTCTGCGGTTATTTGATCGGGCGATAGTAATACTTCAGTGAACACTTGTTTGGTTTTCTAGAAAATGTAGGAAATTAACACCATAATTTGAAGGATTTTGTGCGGTTTTCTGTTACTTGGGGCTTCAGAAAGCAAGAATTTCACATGTTGCGACTCTGCGGTTATTTGATCGGGCGATAGTAATACTTCAGTGAACACTTGTTTGGTTTTCTAGAAAATGTAGGAAATTAACACCATAATTTGAAGGATTTTGTGCGGTTTTCTGTTACTTGGGGCTTCAGAAAGCAAGAATTTCACATGTTGCGACTCTGCGGTTATTTGATCGGGCGATAGTAATACTTCAGTGAACACTTGTTTGGTTTTCTAGAAAATGTAGGAAATTAACACCATAATTTGAAGGATTTTGTGCGGTTTTCTGTTACTTGGGGCTTCAGAAAGCAAGAATTTCACATGTTGCGACTCTGCGGTTATTTGATCGGGCGATAGTAATACTTCAGTGAACACTTGTTTGGTTTTCTAGAAAATGTAGGAAATTAACACCATAATTTGAAGGATTTTGTGCGGTTTTCTGTTACTTGGGGCTTCAGAAAGCAAGAATTTCACATGTTGCGACTCTGCGGTTATTTGATCGGGCGATAGTAATACTTCAGTGAACACTTGTTTGGTTTTCTAGAAAATGTAGGAAATTAACACCATAATTTGAAGGATTTTGTGCGGTTTTCTGTTACTTGGGGCTTCAGAAAGCAAGAATTTCACATGTTGCGACTCTGCGGTTATTTGATCGGGCGATAGTAATACTTCAGTGAACACTTGTTTGGTTTTCTAGAAAATGTAGGAAATTAACACCATAATTTGAAGGATTTTGTGCGGTTTTCTGTTACTTGGGGCTTCAGAAAGCAAGAATTTCACATGTTGCGACTCTGCGGTTATTTGATCGGGCGATAGTAATACTTCAGTGAACACTTGTTTGGTTTTCTAGAAAATGTAGGAAATTAACACCATAATTTGAAGGATTTTGTGCGGTTTTCTGTTACTTGGGGCTTCAGAAAGCAAGAATTTCACATGTTGCGACTCTGCGGTTATTTGATCGGGCGATAGTAATACTTCAGTGAACACTTGTTTGGTTTTCTAGAAAATGTAGGAAATTAACACCATAATTTGAAGGATTTTGTGCGGTTTTCTGTTACTTGGGGCTTCAGAAAGCAAGAATTTCACATGTTGCGACTCTGCGGTTATTTGATCGGGCGATAGTAATACTTCAGTGAACACTTGTTTGGTTTTCTAGAAAATGTAGGAAATTAACACCATAATTTGAAGGATTTTGTGCGGTTTTCTGTTACTTGGGGCTTCAGAAAGCAAGAATTTCACATGTTGCGACTCTGCGGTTATTTGATCGGGCGATAGTAATACTTCAGTGAACACTTGTTTGGTTTTCTAGAAAATGTAGGAAATTAACACCATAATTTGAAGGATTTTGTGCGGTTTTCTGTTACTTGGGGCTTCAGAAAGCAAGAATTTCACATGTTGCGACTCTGCGGTTATTTGATCGGGCGATAGTAATACTTCAGTGAACACTTGTTTGGTTTTCTAGAAAATGTAGGAAATTAACACCATAATTTGAAGGATTTTGTGCGGTTTTCTGTTACTTGGGGCTTCAGAAAGCAAGAATTTCACATGTTGCGACTCTGCGGTTATTTGATCGGGCGATAGTAATACTTCAGTGAACACTTGTTTGGTTTTCTAGAAAATGTAGGAAATTAACACCATAATTTGAAGGATTTTGTGCGGTTTTCTGTTACTTGGGGCTTCAGAAAGCAAGAATTTCACATGTTGCGACTCTGCGGTTATTTGATCGGGCGATAGTAATACTTCAGTGAACACTTGTTTGGTTTTCTAGAAAATGTAGGAAATTAACACCATAATTTGAAGGATTTTGTGCGGTTTTCTGTTACTTGGGGCTTCAGAAAGCAAGAATTTCACATGTTGCGACTCTGCGGTTATTTGATCGGGCGATAGTAATACTTCAGTGAACACTTGTTTGGTTTTCTAGAAAATGTAGGAAATTAACACCATAATTTGAAGGATTTTGTGCGGTTTTCTGTTACTTGGGGCTTCAGAAAGCAAGAATTTCACATGTTGCGACTCTGCGGTTATTTGATCGGGCGATAGTAATACTTCAGTGAACACTTGTTTGGTTTTCTAGAAAATGTAGGAAATTAACACCATAATTTGAAGGATTTTGTGCGGTTTTCTGTTACTTGGGGCTTCAGAAAGCAAGAATTTCACATGTTGCGACTCTGCGGTTATTTGATCGGGCGATAGTAATACTTCAGTGAACACTTGTTTGGTTTTCTAGAAAATGTAGGAAATTAACACCATAATTTGAAGGATTTTGTGCGGTTTTCTGTTACTTGGGGCTTCAGAAAGCAAGAATTTCACATGTTGCGACTCTGCGGTTATTTGATCGGGCGATAGTAATACTTCAGTGAACACTTGTCTGGTTTTCTAGAAAATGTAGGAAAATTAAATAGAAAACAACCATAATTGAATGAAGAACCTTGTGGCCTTTTTCTGTTACTTTGAGACTTGAGAAAGCAAGAAATTCGACTACGGCTATTTGATCAGGAGAGATAATACATCAGAGAGTTCAAAATATGCCTAGATAGTTACAATATGCCTTGGTATACTTATTGGTGAGAATATTTTTCTATACTTTTTCATGTATGTGTAAAAAAATTGCACATCAATGAAAATATTTTTCTGTACTTTTTCATGTATGTGTAAATATTTTTTTAAATCACCACTGTACCGTAATTTCCCCAAGAACAATCAAGAACCTACGAAATGCTTCTAGTTTCTTAAGGAAATGTCATTTTTTTTTCTCTCCCTGTATTCCATCTGTAGTTTCTTGTGATAGAGTTATCTTAAACGTTTAGTCATCACAACAGGTATCACCATTGTTTTGCTGGTATCAGTTTTGGTTGAGCTTTAGTCGCTGGCCTTGTTTTGTGCTGTTATTATGGAATTTTTAAGGATTAAGAGTTTGATGTCTAAGAACGGACGTTACTCTCAACTAGGACATGATCCTCTTTCAGTTTATCATGTACTTTCAAGAACTATATGTTTTTAGGGTTAATTTCACTTTTATTTCCTAAATTATTTTCATTTTTGTATTTCATCCTTAAATTATCAATTTCTTGAGTTTCTAATTTCAAATAATGTGGTCCAAATCAGTAACCATTAAATTCTAATTTAATGGGTAAATAGATCATTTAAAAAATTGAACAACTGAAACTATACAACCAAACACTTTTTTTTTACTCACCACTTTGAAATGAGCAGTATAGAAGAAGATGAGTTTTTGGTTGTTGGATGTAAGTCATCTAATATATAGAATGAGTAAGAATATGGGTGTTTGGTTGTATGATTTAGATTAAAATTATCTTTTTGCTTATTAGGTTTGGTTTCTTCCATTACTGATTTGGACGGGCTATCTCCACTTATACTAAATGAGCAGTATCGAAGAAGATGAGTTTTTGGTTGTAGGATGTAAGTCATCTAATATAGAATGAGTAAGAATATGGGTGTTTTGTTGCATGATTTAGATTAAATTATCTTTTTGCTCATTAGGTTAGGTTTCTACCATTATTGATTTGGACGGGCAATCTCTATATGATTTGAAATCAAAAACTCTAAGGACTAAATAGATGAAATTGACAGTGTAGGGATGAAATAGAAAAAAATGACAATAGCTTAGGAGATAAAAGTGAAATTATAAGTACATGTTGAAAATGACTAATGCTCTATTGTTTTATCATGGAGTTGGATTTTTTGCTTGGAAATGATTTACTGAGGTTGGTGTTTTCCTCGTACAGCTGATTGCATTTTGCAGTATTGGAACCATGGTGCAGCACTACAACCTTGCAAGTGCCCCATGTGCTCTAAGCTGATTACTAGGTTGATACCTGAGGCATCATTTGACCACCGCCATGATGTTGAGGTTCTGGAAAATGTTCGGAAGTATAACCGTATTTTTGTTGGAGGCATACCTGGCCTGATTATGGTGGGTATGGCATATCTATCTGTTTGTGGTATTGTTTTTAAACAGTATATTTAGTCTCTTTTCTTCTTCATTGAAATACACTATATTATAGGGTTCTATACAGATAGTTGGGATTTTTGAATTTGATTTTTCTAATAACGGTGATTCTAAATTTTATCATTGTTGGATTGTCTAATCTAAAGTGATATGTGCACTTATATGCATTTAATTTATTATATCATATGTTGGTCCTTATTATATATGCATTTAATTTATTATATCTAAAGTAATTTTCTTATGGATAGTTTTTCCCCATAAGTTCCATGTTTGTAATATCAGTGTTGTAAGTTGAATAAGTTGTCTGGTCACATATTTGTGCCAACCAAATGCCCTTGTGGAAACAACGGCTGTATTTTGTAGTTCCTTTGTTTTATACATATATATTTTGTAGCTGGAAAAGCTTCAAAATTGACAAATTAATGGGGGCACGGAACAAGATATGATTTTACTAGCCTTTACCTCATGCATGCTTCTAATGTATTGTGCCAATCATGCTTCAAGTAATTTTGCAGTAGAAATTATTCGCGAGCATTCATATTTTTTATGTCTTTTTTTCTCAATCAGAAAATGCGTGAGTTGCCATTGCTTATCAAGAGAATATTTCGTGAGATGATGGATCCTGATGCGGCTGATAATCACCTTTTTAAAGTGCGGCTTTTTGCAGTTAAGTTCATCCAATAGTTGGACAAATCAGAAGTTATACAAGAAGCTATTTATTTATTTATTATTTTTTATCTACTTTTGAAAATTTTGCATTGTAATGTAATGTCTCTAGATGTGTGTAACTGATAGGTGATTTCTTCTTTCCCAAGTCATAATTGAATCAAGTTGTGATGTATACTTAAAATTCTACATCTAGCGTAAAAAATAAAAAGAAAAAAGTAAGTAGCACGTTTTGAAGATTTGTACAAACTATTCGTGCAGATTCTGTTAATCTAAGAAGAGTTTGATGTCTAAGAACGGACGTTGCCATAATGAGTTAAATATTTTCTTTGGTTTCTGGTGGTGACAATGAACTATTAGGTTTACATATTCATATATTGCTGAAAGTATTAGGAGATGAGACTTTAACCTCATAGATGTTTCTAATTTTATGAATAAAGTAAATGAGCCTTTGAACCAGAAATTAAGCAACATATGAAACTGCTTGTGAGAACAATGTACTTCTTGTACTTAACTTACAACAGAACCCTTGCAACAAATTATCAGGAAGTGTGCAATGTGGTTCTTATTATTCTTTATATGGTTGGATGCGATTAGTTAGCACTCCCAAATCCCAATTATGAATCCCAATTATGACAGCCTTAGATGCTGTAACTTGATCTTTTGACTGACATAAACTGCTCTATCATGTTCCAGAAGACCTATTAATCATTGATTTCATGGCTTAGTTTTATCAAGCTAATTTTGATTGTTGTTTTTGTTTGCAGATATTGCTGGGTGCCCTCTATACTGTTAGCCCTGTAGACTTCCTTCCAACAGGTGAACCCAAGAACCCAAACTGTTTATGAGCAAATTTATTATAAGCTAAATAAAAGATCAAGAGGTGTTAATAAGTGGGTCGCACATTTCCGCCATTGCCATCTCTATATGGTAGAAAAGTGAAGTTGACTTGAAGAGCTTGAACAAATTTCAAGTTGTGGAACCTTCAATTTGTTTATATCGTCATATGGTTGGGGCAAATCCACAATCATGTGGTCAAGATAGTTTTTTGAATTTCCATGTCCAGATAGGCCAATCATGTGACTTGTTTGGGGGAAAAAAAGAACATGAACTGATCACACGGGTGGGTGCCATTTAATATATGGTGCTGTTTTTTCCTTTTTTCTTTCCCTTTCTGATTATGTTTTGGTTCGTTGAGGCCTTAATTTTGTGAACCAAACCATAGCCAACGGTTCTTAATTTTTTGGAACCGGAATCAAACTAAGCGGTTTGTATCAGTTTATGTTTACGATTTGACTGGCTTTTTGAACACCCCTACCCATAATTTTAAGCCATGCTCAACCCAGCTGAAGGTTGAAGCAGATTCTCAAGTAGTGGTTACAGCTAATTATCTTGAGGATCTATACCAGTCAGCTAGCAGTACACCTTCATCGTGTTTTAGTATTTGAACACCTCAGTGTGTTTGGTTTGAGTTTTTTGAATTAAGTTTTTTGAAAACTGAGTTTTTTTAATTAAGTTTTTTGAAAACTGAGTTTTTTGGTTTTCGTGTTTTTTTGCTTTTAGTGAATATTTTTTAAATTTTAAGCATTTTTTTTACTTTTTTAGATGCACCTTACTTAGATGTATCTAAAAAGTAAAAAAATTGTAAAAAAATATTTTTAAAAATTAATAAATACATAAAAATATAAAAAATGTACTGAATTCTCGTATTTTTTCGGTATTTTTGGTATTTGGTGAATTTTTAAAAGGTTTTTTTCAATTTTTTTTTTTACTTTTTAGGTATATTTATGTTAGGTATGTCTAAAAATTAAAAAAATTATTCAAAATATTAAAAAAATTCAGTAAAAACAAAAAATCACGGAAAATAAGAAAATAAAATTTTTTGAAAAGTGTTTTTGAAAAGTGGTAACCACGTCTTTGTTTCCTGTGCATTTATTATGTGTTACCATATTAAGCGATGAGCTCATATTCTGCAGGTCGTATGGATGCCATAAACTTTTTTGATAACATTTCCATTGCTCTGGTTCTCATCCTGTATATAGTTGGCCTCTGCCGCAGACGACAACAATTGCGACGCGTGAGGCAGTTGGCTGCCGATGCCCAACCTGACGGGACTTGAATATCCAATACAATTGTGACACAATTTCCCCTCAGAATTCAAAGAGGATTGTGATCACGCCCAGACTGATGAGATTGTAAGTTGCACCCATTGTATATTTGTTTTCTGTAAAATTCACCCAAAATCAATTCTACGACACGCCACGTGACTGGCAATTTGAGAGTCGTTTAGTCATACCCGATTATCTGAAACAATTGAATCAGTTGTGTTCAAACGTGGATGATGCTGTGTGTTTGTAGTAGTTTCCTGAATTCAGTAAAACATCCATCGGTCGATGTTTTTTTTTCTTTTTTTCCTTCTTTTGATGAAATGGGAGGCAAAGAGCAGTCTAATGTAATTTTTGTAAAGGGAATGTCTTTGCTGAGTGTTAATAAGTATATATCATTGTTGGTATTATATATTTTATGTTGCCTTTTGACAACTTGTTTCACTGCTTCCCCAGTTCCAGTTTGGACAAAATGTTGATTCTCAGAATGTGACTGAAATGAGCATTATGTAAGTTGAAAGGTTGGATTGGTTGCCAGAAGGGAAAAATTCAAATTCATTTTGCACCTCTGTACTTCACGTTTAATCTCATTTTGCCCCGACTTTCCTGACTTTTAATCGCTAAACTTTTGAGTCAAGTTCCAATTGGGCCCATCATCTTGTAACAATTTCTCCAAGTTTGATGAAGTAAAATTAAGACGCTAAAGTGAATATTTTTTTAATAAAAGTATTAGGGTGTTAAAAGAGTAAAATGGGAGGTTTTATTTATACACTATAAATTCTCTTACTACATATTATTTAATTAATAAATTTATATGATAATAATAACTAAAAGTAAAATGATCTAAACTCAAAACATTGACTTTGAAAATTTATGATTTTAAGAATATTGAAATCAATTGATTTTGAAATATTGCACATCACAGGTGACACTCAGATTGTTGATTTGGAACAATACAACAATGAAAAGGTGAAATTTTTTTGTTTGTTTGTCTTGTTCGTATAGAAGATGTTTTATTCGTTATGTATTCAAACAACCAGAGCTGAACATTTATAAAATGTTCAATTATTTATATTTAATTAGATATTAAATGTTCATACATAAAAATTTATAAAATATTTAATTATTTATATTTGATCAAATATTATCCATGCATAAAAAATTAAGCATTTCGGTTTGGTTAGTTTCCTTAACTATGTATTTATAAACAATACTAAAACTGATTTTTGTAGAATTCTGTACTCACCCAATGTAGCAATGTTGGAACGGATTGTATTATCGACTACACAAGTCTCTTTACACACCATAGCCTAGGTGAGAATCGCAGATCGTTAGATGACCTACGAGATGATGATCGTTTCTTCATCAGAGATGAAACTTGCTGAACAAACTACAGCTTCCAGTCAGCTAGCAGTACACCTTCATCGTGTTTTAGTATTTGAACACCTCAGTGTGTTTGGTTTGAGTTTTTTGAATTAAGTTTTTTGAAAACTGAGTTTTTTTAATTAAGTTTTTTGAAAACTGAGTTTTTTGGTTTTCGTGTTTTTTTGCTTTTAGTGAATATTTTTTAAATTTTAAGCATTTTTTTTACTTTTTTAGATGCACCTTACTTAGATGTATCTAAAAAGTAAAAAAA